GAAATTAGTCGTAGAGAGTAGACGTAAACCATTCTATAAGAAAATAGTTCTTAGATACTAACGTCGAGTAAAATTTCTACGAGTCGAGGAACTCTAACTTCTCGTTCCCGATAGATTCTTAAAACCGCTTATATCTCTATCTCTACTTTAGCTAATATTCGATCTATCGTTAATCGAGCTTATATCTTCTCCTTAGATATTTAGGTAATCGCTACGATTTCTCTTAAATTATCTTCTATAAGGGCCCGTAATCGGGTTTCTTCTATTAAGGTCATCTCTACTTCCCTTATTAATTTCTAAGTTTAATGAGTTCTTACTTTAATTCTTTCTACTACTTCTTAGAGAATTTATTCTAATTCTTTTTATATAAGAGATTTTAATTCTTTCTTATACTAGGTCTCCGATTCTTCACTAAGATCTAAATTAAAGTTATATTACGAATTAACTATATTACATTTTCTTAGTACTTTCGGATCTACTTCCGATATATAAACGTTTAAAATATTTAGGTCGCCTTTTTAGTGGGTATAAATAAAGTTCGGATAACTTCTTTTTCATAGGTATTCATCGTTCTAGTAGACCCTTATATTAAAGATCATTTCGATTTTAGAAGAGAAGTTCCCTAGTTCGTATATAGTATAGCTATATTTTAGTAATATTAAAGTACAGTAGAGATCTAAACACATCCTTCTTACCTAATATTTAGTTCGGATATATATACGCGTAAATATAATCGCTATTAATATCGCTTTCCCACTATTAATACTTTCTCCGACTACTACTATTTCTTCTTCTACTATATTAGCTTTAGAGATACTCGTCGCTATTTCCTTAGTTTTAAGTTTCTTTTCGGCAGCTATAATCTATTTTTTCTTACCTTTATAGTTTTTCGCGTAATGACTTAGCTTACCGTAACTATAATAAGTCGTTTCTTTTCCTTTTCTAAGATCGGTTTTTTCTTTCCTATTTCCTCTATTATTATTACGTCTTTTTTACGCTTAGTTTAGATCTATAGATTATAATCCGTAATAAAGTTCGCGCCTTTTCTAAGTATTAGCTCGTTAAGCTCTTATCGTATAGATTTTTTGAGTAATATTAAGACGCTTATACTAATGATATTCTTTAATATCGTTATCTTTCTTAATAACCGTAGCTATTTATTTCTCTAGTAGTTTCTTCTCTAAATATCGAAGTTTTTACTTAATTTTCGACTTTAATTCTTCTTAAAAGATAGAGATAGTGATGTTATCTTATTAGCTAAGCTTCGTATTTAGCGTTCTAAACTTAGTTATATATTCTTAGATAGATCTAGTTTATCGAAGACTCACTATTTTCTTTTAAGCTTTCTTTTCTTTATCTTTCGTTCCGAATACTAGTTTCATTATTTCCTTAAATTCCGTAAACGTAGCGAAGAGACTAATAGTCTCGTTCTCTCTATTATTCGCTTCGTTCTTAATATAGTTCTTAACGAAGAGTCTAAGCTAAGCCTCGATATTATCTTCGAAGTAACTTCCTATAAAGAGTATTTTCTATAAGTTATTTTAGAAGTTAGTGAAGTTCATTAGAATATATAAATCTATATGGTGAATAAAGAGTATAAGTTTAGATTCTACGTCGTTAAAAAGCTTAGATGAGTTGCTAATCTTTCTCTTAGTCACTGGTACTGGCGCGGCGGTAGTTATTGCCGTCCTTAAGGTGCTCGGTGTTAATCTCGGGGTACTAGTAGTAGTAGATATAGTATCGTTAAGGAATAGTCGTACTATGCGTCGTACTAGTTCGTCAATAAGCGAGATAAGTCGGTCGGGTCTTCTTTAACTACTTATAGGGGTCGTTCTCCACAATAAGAGTAATAGCTAAAGTGTTAAGGTTCCTACCGGGGTCTAACTAGATTAGGGTTCCTAGTAACAATCCTAATAGTATAAACTGGTTAGGAAGAACGCAAGGTATAAGAAGTCACTTGTCACTAAGAACTATAAGTTCAATAGTTAACATAAGTTGGCTACGAAGAGAGTGTAAGCTATCTAGGGGTAATGAGGGTGTATATATAATGCTTATACTCTGTGCGCTCTGTACGCTCTATACGCTCTGTCCCAATAGGGTCAGTAGAGCCAACAGAGCCAGTAGAGTATATCACGTGACTCAGCCTTACTCTCTTGCGGACCCTTCCATTTGACTAATGAGTGTAGAGAGCCGCGCCCGTGCAGCCCTCGGCCGGTCCCTTCTAAGGCTGTGTCTAACACGTAGTTTAGTAAGAGAAATTTATCGCTATTAACTAAGGCTCTATATCGATTTCGCGAACTATTTTCTCTTCCGTAACACTCGTATATCTTTTCTATTAGAAGTTAAGTTCTCTAAATTAGTTAACGGTGCCGTAGTGCTTTCTATATTCGTAAAATTAATATTAATTAAGGTGAATAGTAAATACTTAAATATAATTTAAACGAAGTAAGCTAATAAATCTTAATCTTTACTAGCTCGCCTAAGTCGTTATATTAGAATATCGAGATTTTTAGAAAGACCGAACTAAACGACGACTTTAATATTTAAAAAGTCTATATTAATTCTCACTACGTTTATTATAAGTAGTATTTAAATATTAAATAAGACTTAAAGAAATCGCTAATAAACTCGTTACTTAGAGTTCTCGAATCGTAGACGAAAGAATATCTTAATTATTATTTTAACGATATTAAAGAATACTTTATATCGTACTATTAGTATATTTATAAATTAAAAGCGAATATTTATAATACGATTAGTTAAACGTATAAAGATAATCGTCTTAGAAATATATCGACTAAATTTAATAGTAATAGTCTTATATAAAAGAGAGAAAAAGAGAAATAATAGATCTTTAGCCGAGTTCTTTAGAAATTATATTATTTAAAGATCGTAGAATATATTATTTCGATTAAGATTTTAATATATAACTTAAGTGTATATCTTTTAAAATCTACTCTATTATAGATATCTTACTAATATATACGGACGAAGCGTCGCTAATACATTAAACTATAATATATAAGAAGATAGACGATTTCGTAGAATATATAGAGAACGATATACCGATCGAAAAGTTTTATCTTACTATACTACGTAATATAACTTATTAATAATAATAAAACGAAGCCCCTATATAGTATTTAAATTTCTTAGAATAGCGTCTCTAAAGAGTAAAGAGATAATTATTTTAGAGCTTATAAATACTAAAAGATATTAATTAAAATAGAAATAGTAAGAGAAAATATTTTATAAATTTATTATTCATTAAATTTATAAAATATTTTTTAAATTACTTATAATATATATAACGTTAAGCTATTAAAATTGTGGAATATCGCCCTCTAAAGGTTTAT